AGATTGACAAGTTTTACAGAAAGAAAATTGAAGTACCAGCCAGTCCCATAGGCCAGTATGAACAAACTGTTTGGGAATGGTGACATCCCCAAAGGAAATGGAGTCATTCGCACTTCCAGCATTCCAAAATGCAGTATCCCAAACTACGTCTAACACATCAATCATTTGTGTTGTGCCACTGCTGCGTTCAGCTGTAATAGAGCCAACATCAACCTCATTTTTTAGTTTAAAAAATATTCCAAAATCAAAATGAGAAGAAGAAACTCAATGATTTTGGAGAATAGATTTTCTCAAAAGCTGATCAATCCAACTTCTCCTCAAACCATGGTTTCTAGTTCATTAATCACTCGTTGACTTTTTTTAGTGTTTGGATGAAATCACACAAAACCTTGATTTTGCTTAAAAAAGTGATTTTGGAGTGGTTAGCCAAACATGGACTAAGTATTCAAGGTATGAAGTAGAGAGAGAGAGAGAGAGAGAATGGCCGGTACTATCTCTACACGTGTGTTTCACAAAAATAGACTGAGTTACCTTCTGCTTCACCCTTAAAATAGGAGAAAAAAATTTCAAATAATAAAACAAATTAATCCTCTGAAATTTATTTAAATTTCTCATGCTTTTGTGCGTGGATATGTGTATATCATCAGACTTGTAAGTAAAGATAATATTAATCGCACACGAGAAAGAACTGATGAAGAAGCATTCATGCGTATACATACCATTCCTACTCACACCTCACAAAGATGACTTTCTTATCAAAGACCTTCCCGACCCTGTATAGCCTCCTGCAACCACCATTTTCAACACAACTATCCCGAATCTAAGCTTCTTAACTACATAAAAACATGTTTATAAAAATAATGGGATCTCAGTTTTATAGAAGAAGAACCTGAGAGTTCCACAAAAGGGTGATTTGGATCGGGTTCAAATGCCTTGGAAGCAAAAAATGCAATCTCCTCAGGTGGGTAGGCAGCGATGATACCAAAATATGGCCCTTTCTGCTTCACTTCCTGTATCACTTGCATTGCCCTTCTTCTGCTTAATGGTTCTGCAAATGCTGCTGTCAAACTCAGCAACATAATCATCAAAACTCTTGCAGCCATGCTTATTGAAGAGTGAATTTAAACTAGCAATAAGAAGCTAAAAATATTGGTAAATGGATACAGTTTATAGAAAATACATGAACATAGCAGACACAATTGTTTTCAACACAGATCTGCTTACACATGGTTATGTTTGTTTCGTGTTTTATGGACTGCGTGTGCCTGCCAGCCCACTCAACGTTCTCTGTCAAACTGGTATCTGGTTATGGAACAGTATTACCTGTAAGTCAAACCCCGATAAAAATGAGGGCTTTCGTTTCTTAGAAGTTAAAAATCCAATGAATTTATGGAAATTTTCAACGTCTTATAAGGCATTGATGTAACTGGAGTTTACTAGTGATTTATATTTAAAGAGCCTTTTAACTGAATCCATTGATCAGAAGTCAATAATCCTTTTTTGTTGTTTTGTTGGGAGGGGGGTGGGCGGAAGAAGTTGACAGTCTGTTGAAAGTTTGATTTTTTGGGCACGTGAGAGAGATAGATAAACGGATAACAATGGGGCCCATGAATTAAAATCTCTCATTCACTCATCAGAAAGTGAGCCCCATATAACTGGCCCTTTGTTCCCTGAATGTCAGATTATATTTGCATACATTATACACTCACATTATTGTCAATTAAAATTATTTTTATATGATGGAGTTTTTGTTCTTTTGGGACAAAATTTTCGCGCAGAAGAAGAAGAAAAAATACAGCTTGCAGCACTATTTCTCATCATCCTCTCACATAACTTCCATTGATTACCTAAAACAATGCTGGTCAAAAAAAAAGAAGAAGAAGAATACCTAAACAATACTATGGAATTGCCAGATATCTTACCTACATCAACATATCTGCAATTTTCCGAGGGCAAAATCTAGTGAGTAATTTCAACAGTTCTGGAGAAATTAGAGTTGAAATTTTCAGCGTCTGACATGGGTTTTGAGCAGAAAGAAATGGAGAAATTCATACAATATAAAAAGCAAAACTTGTATCATCTTTCAATTCATGGTATACGTTTATGACTTTTGAAGTTCTTTAATACAAATAAATGATTCCAACCTCTTAACATAGCCTAGCGTTGTTGTTTTTCACATTATACATGTCATCCCATAGAAGCATGAAAGGGGCTGGGTAAGTAATCATAAGCTCAAGTTGTGAGAAATTAGCTTGAACCAGTTTCGGAAAGCTAATCTGTAACTTCATTTTCTGTTGATGAATACGTATCAGAGGGTTCTAAATGATTAGTCCCCTCATCCTGAACAGTAACAAGACACTGAAAATACTGTTGTCAGAAACAGTGAGTTTCATCGGTTTTGAAGCCCTTCAATTGCCTTCTTCCACTGCCATGCTCTTTGTTTTGCATCCTCCAATGACATTACTTTCTTTGGCTGCATTGTTTATTTAAGAGAAATCACAAATCACAAATCATCAAAATATCAAGAGGTATAAAAGAAATCTAACAAGGACATTGCAAGTTCGGGGAAAGCCCTAGAAAACAACTAAGCAAGTAGCATTACAGCTCCTTACATTTCATGCATATATATTAAATTTCAAATCAAATATTTACTTAAATACTATCCATGGTAATGACGGATATGGGGTCTTCTTTTTACCATCAATACATACAGCTTGCTGTAACTATAAACAAAAAATCTTATAACAAGATAAATAAAGATAACAGCAACTTACTGTGCAAATCTTAAAATGTGAAGGACTAGTCACTTGGACTGAAAGTTCACTTGGATTATCAGACCATAACATATTTCCCTTTACAATCAGTTTTGATGGGTCACGTAGATCAACTTTGGCTTGTTTGTAAGGATGAGCTGCACCTTCTTGCTTGTTAGTTTCTGTAATTTCTTCACATTTGAGATCATAAGAACAGTTTCCCCAGGTTCCAAAAATTGTTGCCTGTAAGATAAGAAGCACTAATTTTGATTTTTAGTTTATACATAAAATGCACAGATTAACCAAAAAAACAACCAAATTAATTAATATCAAAAGCTAAATGAGGGCGAAATGAAATTACAGTGTGTTATAAATTCCTTCATTTACAAGTCCAAGATAAAGGATAACATGGCACCATTAACGTTTTTACAATCTTAAAGGAACATATTGAGACCTCTGTCACATGATGTTAACTTTTGTGCTTCAGTGAGTCATGGATGACACAGTATATGGTCTTCACACAAACAATGGAAGATAATAATTTACCATTTTGAATCGAAAGAATCAATTGAAGCTAGCCTGGTCACATGAGCAGTCCCATCAGAAGTAGCAGCACTGGTATTTCCATCAGGTTTAGTAGAACCATCCTGAGGATCAAATGGGGAATCATGATGCTCAAGAGATTGACCCTAATAGTGAGAATGAGATGATGACGCTAGAAACACCTTTTACATTCGTCCCTAAAGAAAGTGGAGAAAAAGGGAAAATTGCCTATTCGGCATGAGTAACATTTAAAAACAGAATGAGAATTATACCCCTGCTTCTGGAGCAAGTTTTGGGGGGCTTTGGTCCCTTATGTTTTTCCAGTTTACTCCCTTGAAAAAAGGATGCATTTTGAGAACTCCATATCCATCAGGTCCAGCACCTGGTCTCCTCATTGGATTTAAATCCTGTACCATAGTTGCATTACTGTTTTAAATACATATTATTACAAATGAATGAAATACACAGAGCGTAGCAATTTAAATCATGCTTAATTATAGGGTAAATTACTCTTCCCATAGCTGAGTAATGCTTGAATTATACAATCTTCTCTTACTATGAGAAATCACTTTAGAAATATAAAGATCTCGAGTGGCTTTGACAATTTTCTAATTGGCTAAGATCAGAATCTATTACTGGATGCATAGGATAATTTTAGAAGTAGCTTTTTTTTCCGTCGAAACCAAGACTTAGAAGCAACATGAATTCAACTTTTTTACAAAAGGTATATATCGGTTTTGAAATAGAAGGGACATCAAGTATCCAGCATTCCAGCTCTTTAACTCATAAAAGCCATACTTGGGGACTGATCTCCCAAGCCTCTCTTTTGTTTTTCACTCTAAAGCCCAAACCCCATCCCCCGCCCCCACGAAGCTTGATTTTTATCTGTTGTTGCCTTCAAATTAACAAAGGGAAAATTCTTTATAGCTTTTTTTTTTTTTTTTGGGGAAGAAAAGACAAGCCGAGGCTTGAAGACAAAGCAACAGAAAGGTAAAAAGGAAAAAAGACACGAATCAAGAAGACCCAAGAGGCGAAGCAGCTAGCTCCATGCGAAAATTCTTTATAGCTAGCATTGCCATCATGGCATTACAAAGGGAAAATGCCTTTAGTTTCTCATTATCAAAGAGCAGAAACATAAAATCAGAAATGTGGATAGAACAAGCAGGGCCTTCTGCATGCAAAATCCAAAAATACTAACCAGTAAACGGTCAATGAGGTCAATTGCTTGCTCAGAAAAGTAATCTGGAAATCGAAGATCTCTGGCTATAATTCTTTGGAAAATAAGCCATTCACTAGCATCTTTAAATGGAGAAGTTCCAGAAAGCATTTGATATAATGTGCAACCGAGAGCCCAGAGGTCATTTCTGTGGTAAAATTTGAAAGAAATAAAACAAAGGAGAAAATAGAAGAGTATTATGTGGTAGCCAGGCACGGAACAAAAAATAATGAAGTTACTCAGTGCGAAAGCTCTCCTTGGCAACTGAAGGGTTGGAAATAATCGTTAACTCAAAAAAGACAATGAAATCTATAAATAACGTAAAAAACGCCATCAAAACAAACATACAATCAAGTCCGTACCCAAAAGTTGCTGGAGAAGAATTAAGAACCTCTGGAGGGACATAAGCAGCTGTCCCCACAAATGTGCAGGCTTTATCATCTAGGGGAAAAAAACCAAGATCACACACATGAATAATGATAAACATAACAAAGCAGCTTCCACATTACTCCTGATTTTACCTGATGCTGCTGCATTTGGAAGGACTGTAATGCGGCTGTCCTGCATAGGCTTCACACTCCCAAAATCAGCGATTTTAATATGTCCTTCAGCCGTAAGTAACAAGTTCTCTGGCTGCAACGTAAGGAATGTGATCTTTAACATACCCATATGAAATGCTGAAGCAATACATTCATAGCACAGAACTACCTTAATATCACGATGTATCAATCCCAAACTATGTATATATTCAAGGGCATCCACAACTTCAGCTGCATAGAACCGTGCTTCATCCTCGGATAGACGACCTTTCTGCACACAGGAAATCAGGCAGAAGCTAGTAGATAGCAAGTAACAAGTTGGCAAATAGATACGAACCACACAGATAGCAACAGCTTCCAAAAATCTAAGGGTAGAAAAAAGAAAATACAATATTTTTAAAAGAAGGACCAACAATTTCAAAAATATCAATATGAAATGTCAAACGTGTTGGCCTTGGATAAACTAAGCCATAAGAGTGAAATGAAGTACCAAATGTTCAAAACCTCTCAACACACGGCCTACGAGCACCCCCCCCCCCAAAAAAGGAGTAGTCAAAAAGGGGCCAGACAGCTTTTTCCAAAAGAGGAAGGGGGAAACAGAGAGACAACAGTGAAATATGTAAATAATGCTTCTCTGGACAAAAAACGAGAAGCAAAAACAGTAAAAAAAAAAAAATCCTTTGCAAAGATCTGTGACAGAGAACATATTTTTTACATAAATAAAAAGAAATCAATACCATATTGCTCACCATCCACATATACTTAAGAATAAAGGTGTTATTGGTTTCAGTTGGGGTCAATTGTCAGCGTTTATTTTGAAATGTTCACTAACATGTACAAATAATTTATTGAAAAAGAGAATAGTAATTTATCTCAACTCTTGAAAAATATTATAATAAACCGCTTCCAGTACTTTTTTCCAGATGCAGATTATAAAAGGCCATAACAAATAAGACCCAACTTCTACAGCACTAAATCTGGGTCCTTCTAAACCAGTACCAATCAAATTAATTGGATTCCAGCGTGTGGATCTCATGTCTTCAAGTCTCATATTAGCTTACCCGGGTTATTTGATCAAAAAGTTCTCCACCTTCACAGGACTCAAGTGCCATGTCTTCAAGTTTGAAAAAGAAAAGATCACAAGAAAAAGATACAACATTGATTAATAGATCAAAATGGGTGGGAAGCTAAAGCATATTGAAATGAAAGAAGATAGAGGAGGAACAGCATTGAATGAAATTATTTAGAGAAACACAGCCTAAGAATACCTACAAATGGAAAATGTGTCTTGAAATGTGAAAAATAGGCGCACATGCCAGGATGGTCCAATTGATCAAGCACTATGCGCTCCAACTTCACATAAGCTGTTTTATTCTCTTTAGTAATAAATTTTTTATCCATGATTTTCAATGCATACACAACTCCTGTGTCCTTCTTCTTTGCCCTCACAACCTAATACACAAAAAAAAAAACAAAAAACAAAAAAAAATTAAAACAAAATATGTGGTAAAAGTTTAAAAGAAATGGTGAATTTACTCAATTAAATCACAAAAGATCCAGATAATTAAGTTTTGAAATAAGATAACAAGCAATATTTGTATACAACGGATTGAAATTTATAGTTACAGAGATCACTGAACTATATGATCAGGAAAATTTAACAAAAGTAGCAAGACGAAATACAAGACTCATATTCCAGTCCCTGGATAAGTGATATCATAATCACTAAAAAAGAATATCATAATCTCTGAAAAAAGGCAAGAGGTGATTGTCCTAGCGGATAACAGAATACTTTATCCTCGAAGTCATAATGGTCACCAAACATAGATGGTCACCAAAGTCTCAGAATACTTTGGCATGCTTCCCATGAACAGCCCCTCAACACTGCTATAGTTTCTCCCTTTGGCCATGTCATCTAATGTGCTGAATCACTCACACAACTTCAAGAATTCTTCAACCTGCTTCCATGAGTAGCCCCTTCAATATTCTCCAAGCTTGTCTCGAAATTATGGTTTACAAACATGATAACCAATATGAATGCCGCAATCTACACTACACTTCCTTCCTTCACAACTGAGATTCCAAGCCTAAATATATTATCATTTGATATTAATTGAATTTTGTTTATTTGTCGGAATAAAGCACTTACGGTTAAGCCAATAATTATAACTAATAGGAAGCGGCAACTCTATTTCCTTCATCCATCATAAAGCCCAAGTGTCATATTTTGATCATAACAGGGGTTTATGAATGCTGTGAACCCCCAATCTGTCAACAGTTGCCTCCACCCAAACAAATGAAACACTATTTCAATTCATCTTTTCTTTCACCTTAATCAATAATTGAGCTATACAGCACATAAGATACAGGACATACACAAACATAAGCATAAACATTAACATTCTGAAGGGCACGGCAAACACACACACGACAGTGTTAGTGAAAATATTCTTTGACAAGCACAGATATGCATCAGAGATATTAAGTAATAAAACAGTTTGGCCTTCTAATGCTTTGAGATGAAATAATTCTCCTCATAGTTCAGAGCAAGAATATGACCTTGCTACCCTGTAGTCCTAATCATTGTAAAACATTTTATGTTGGGCTGCGAGCATGTGAGTGGTCCACATTTCAAATCCCAAAGGCTTTCACAACACAATGATAACAGGCATATGAAACATACTGATAAAACTATTTGAAGCTTTCAGTGACAATTTAAGCTTTTGATCAAAGGGTAATTGACACACAAACGCAAATATATATATTATTATGTAAAATGAACGATAATGTTCAGATAATAAAAAAAGAATCTATGATAAAAATTTAAAACCACATTCAACTATTAAGTGAAGCACCAGGAATAGTTTAGCAGTGGTAAACTCAGATTCCTGAAAAATTTGACAGCTTCAAGAAATATGGAGCATATGCACGCCTTATCAGATGGTAAGGTATAAAAGGCGTATCAATCAAAACTGCAAAGGCAAACCAACAGCAGCAATTAAACACGAAAAACCTTAGAATAAGAGCCAACACCATAGATCTTTCCCAATTCAAAGTCCTGTATGGTGAAATTCTCCTGAGGGGCTCTGAAGGCAAAGCTCTTAGATCTCTGCACATTGCCATCAGCAGACGAATTCTCCTGAATCCTCAACTTAGAATCAAAATCCTTCTCCATAGCCAACATCGCACTCCAGCAAAGTTCCTCTACATTCTTATACCAAAATTCTCCCTTTACAACCCCATTATCATCTCTCCTTAAGAGCCTCGGGAGGAGAGCTCAGAATGGTCAATTACACTACTGGGACAAACCCATTGCCGCTTTGGATGAAAGCAATCATTCTCTGATATTCCCTGATAAAAAGAAAAGGTTAGGTGATTCTTTCTGATTAGGGGTACAGCATATGCCTATATGGGTATGCGTGCACAATCTGAAAGTGATCAGCTTTAGCTTTCTTCCAATTTCAAAACCCTAAAAAGTGATGCCAAGGAAATGGATTGAAGGGAGAAGAGAGAGAGAGTGTATTGTGAGTGTGTGTGAGTTCGAGGACGGAGGAGAGGAAGGCATGGAGATCGAAGAAGAGGAGAGTGAAAATGGCACATGAAAATGAATGATGGGGATCATTCAAGCTTTCTCTATCAAATGCCTAAAATGGGAATGGAAGTTGCGCATGATTAGACGCCTAGCGTCTTGCATGTAGTTAGAAATTACAACGGATTTTGTCAAATTCCTTTTTTAGGAAACTGCAGTACGATACCTGTTTCCTCTTTCTTTTGATACTGAAACCCTGCGAGAAGTCTGACTCTATATATCTATGTCGATCTATTAATTAATTCGATTTTTGTTTCAAATTTTCTGAACGTTTCCCCTCCTTGTGATCAATTCATAATTAGATTAAGGAAATTTTAGCTGTCTTGTCCTTTTACATAAGTTGACATATATATATGGAGTTATCAAAATAAAATATATCCCCATTATTGTGGAAATTATCGAGTAATCGGATATGAAAAACAAAAAGACCAAAAATTTTGTGAACAATGCGGAGTCGAATTTGTTGATTCTCAGACAATAATCATTCAAATGATAACTTTCTTTCTTTCTTTTTTTTGGCTATCGTAAAAATGAGAACTTTTTATGTTTTTAAATTTAAGCAAATTATGATAATTGATTTTGATAGCTGTTCCATCTATCAATTTGTTATATCATTTCAATGATTAATTTCAATGTTTTCAAAATTTATAAAAATAAGTCTTCTCCATACAATTATATGCTATCAATTGTTATTGAATTAGATTTAAACATTATTAGATTTAATTGATAATAACTCTTTCAAAAACATTTTTTATTCAAATAAAATCAAACTGAAGACCTCGTGCTTAAATCTTTTTATTGAGAATAAGTCATAAATTTTTTTCAATATAGAATATTAGAATATTATTCATAACTTATGATTAGTATCATTTATTATTTTTAATATATATACACACACATATTATGATTGTCATTATATAAATCAAAAGTGACTATCAACTTGTTTATAAAACATCAAAAGTAAAAAACAATTAAACTTTTTACGCATGAAGTGTTTAAATGATTTCTTTAAGATTATAACAAAATATTTGTTCATAATCACTTATTCATTAAAATATGTTTTGAATGCTTTTTATACATATTTTTTTAACAATTAAATTGTTAGTTGTGACATAATCAAAAGTGACATGGGCACTAACAATCATGTTTCATTGTTTCGCACACGACTCCATGCAGAAATCGTTTACTTTAGCTCATTTTTTACTAACTTCTACAGATTCCACCTTTCCTTTCGGCTACTTCATTCTATGATAGTAAAATTATGAGTTATTTTCGTATTGGATTGACATATATTGTATATATAAAATTTAAAATATCAAATGATAAGTAAATATTAAAATAATGAGAAAAAATGGCAAATTTGAAGACAACAAAATCACAGCCAATATAATTTAACAACTAAGACACAAAAATGCCATTACATGCTAATTTACAATTTGTCGGGAATCTATTTAAAATCTCCCCACATAAATTTTCTGTGGGGGTGGAAAAGTATGGACAAACTTGTACCAGAACAAAATTTAAAAATACAAAAGTTGGTAAAAAGGTCCTACCTTTGGATTAAAAAGAAAAAACCCTCTTTCCTATTACCGTTTCTATACATCCCAACCATCTTTTCTGCTGTCAAATCCCCACTTACGACCAGCCAAAGTTCCATACATCTCTGTAAATTTCACAAGGCACTGAGTTCTTAGATGGTAATGCATTTTTGTGTTCCCACTTATTGCTGCACCAGAAAACTTCGATGTGTCAATTGCCCAAGCTGGTTTAACATAATCCACAGTCCTAGATGAGCTTGCATTTGCATACAGGTAGTTCAGAAGCACATCTTCACAGTTAAAGGATTTGTCTACCATTTCTCTCCCTTCCTTGGCTTCATCACTCCAGTACCTCTTGAAAGCCACCTGAGAATCTATGAATGCTGCACCAGTGAGAATCATGTTGTACCCTTTATGCATCCGAGCATACTTTTCTGCCCGGTATTTCAGCGGGCTCCCATCAATGAGCCTAGGATAGAACCCCACGATTCGATCTGGGTGCTGTCTCCAAACCTTGAAACCTCGCTCCACATCATCACATGTCATCATAATGTCATCATCGAGCTCGAGAACAGCTCGTGTTGTTATCAATGGATCGACCTTGAACCGATTATTGAGTGAATTCTTTTCCTCTACACGGATTCTTACTGGGACTGCAGAGTCCAGATCAGTTGGTTTGGGAGGGACTCCTTTGTTCCACACCACAACAATCTCTCGCACAGAGGAGCATCTTGAGTAATGCTTCACATACATTTTCAAGTTCCAGAGACGAGCCTCATAGGTCATTGTTAATAATGTGAACTGTGAGTAGTGTCCTTCCACAGGGTAAGGTTCTTCTGAACCATTTCCCCCATAGATATTTCTAACCCCGACACACATTAATCCAACACCAACTGCAAATATTGTGATGAGAATCAACCTCCTAGCACAAGCATTATGCTTTATCTTGCTTCGTAGAAATGCTGGAGCTCTGTTCAAGCGGCTACAGAACCGTCTAACTTTACAAGAGAATAAGTTTGATCTTTCCCAAGCCAAGGAAGCAAAATACCTCTTTCCAGAGCTATGCACAGTCCAGTTGAGAGGAACAATACAGTTCACGAATCCAAGTAACACCCCCAGTACCACAATGAGAATACCGGCAACTGTAACTGAAGCGCAACCAAGAATGAAGCGCTGAACTGGATCTCCAGAAGGAACACGATCCCCATCCATAACTGCAACCCAACCACCAGATGGCAACTGTTGTGCATCCAGGTGATGGTACCGAGCACCATTCCAAGCATTTCGACCCTTGCTAGGCTCAGCAAAACCCAATGGTGCTTCAGTTTCTTTGTATTCTTCTGGGGTAAGAACTTCTATCTTAAAGACACGCACCCGTCTCCCATATGTTTCACCACAGTCCTGACCAATACGATAAATATTCCCTCCATATAAAAATGGTCTGCCTCCATTGCGAGCACCAAGGCTCTTGTTCACATTATATATGGGGTTTTTCTTATGAGGTTTCCAAGGACCAAGAGGTGAACTGCTATACCAAATCTCCAACCGACCATTTTTCATGGAGCCAAAACCACTATGATCTGAGCCAAACAGCCAATACCTTCCATCATATTTGATGATTAAGGAATCAACTAGCGGCTTTTTTATCATGACCTTTTCTAATGTCCACTGCAAAGGGAATTTAATTGCTTTATAGAGACGCAATTCTCCTTTTTTACTGCTTTCAGGCATCATGTATATCTGAAAATAAAAGAACAAATGAAGCTTACAATTATTATGAACTCAAATGGCTCTCTAATGAAGTGAATGAACCTTAATGCTTAAGAATGCATAACAGAAAACATATGAAGTATGAACCTTGATATGCACTATTTTTCCCAGAACCAACTTTTCTGAGGCATTAACTAAAAACACATGACTCCAAAAGTTAATGCTGTAAATCTGATTTCTAGAGTATTTCATGTAGTTCAAATCTTCCAGCAAGTGCAAATTTTGCAGATTAATTTAATTAAAATAATATTAACTTTCATTGTTTTATTTGCCTAACCAGAAGTTAAGGGTCCCAGAAACAACAGAAGCTGCAGTTACCATGGATGCTCAAATACTATGTAAATTTAAGTAGTAGTGTATTGAGGTTTACCTGGCCAAGATGCTCAAATACAAATGGGAAAGAAAGATGCCAGTCCTCATTCAAAGCAATGCCCAACTGTTGCCATGTTGCTCCTTTGTCAATACTTTTTGCCACACCAATATCACCTTTCATAGTGATTGAATTCTTAGTCTCATAGAACAGGTAAAAGGTATCATCCTGAAATGTAATACCAGTATAAGTGGCCAAACTCATGGATATTATCCACTAAGGTACAAGAAAATTCACGGCCCTAAAAACCTCACAAATGAAATAACAACTAATTATCATTAGGATTTCACAGCCAAATTCATGTACAAAAATTTATCGTCTTTATATAATGAAATAATTTAAATTTGAACATCTTTATATAATGAAATAATTTAAATACGAGTGGAAACCATCTAACAAACTTATTAGTCATTCAAAAATGAAATCTTGAATGACACGTACTAGTATCTCAGTTGCAGACTTAATGATACCGGAATTTGTTATAAAGTACAGTAGCAGATTACTTATAAACTAGTAGTTAGGTAGCAGATAAGTGTTGATTAACAGTGGAAAGCAGTAAAGAACAAAAAGGGAAAAAGAAATTAAGATGTCATCCAACCAAAGAAGATAAAGAAGAACTTTAATTAAGGATTTCTTTCTTTCCTCCTTTTCAAAATTTTTGTTCAGGGAGTAAACATACATGAGCACTTCGCAAAAGATAAAAGGGTCCTACTACTTTTGTCAAAACCTGACCAAGTTTGTTCCCCAGTAAATAGCAATACTCTGGTCATCTATCATAATCTCCCCAGAATCAAAAAAGATTCCCAAGACAAACATTCTAAATCAAATGACCACTTGTATGATTATTCAACCTCCTAAAGAAGCACTTTAACCACATATTACTATCTGCTTCATCTTTTTGCAGCGCTAACATCATTAAACTTTCAAAGCTTCAAATATAAAATTATCTTCTCGCCTAGCTTCCGAAGATAAGGATTACAGGAAGCCAGGAAACCCAGTGATGCCACTAAAAATTCCAGGCTTCACTGAGTTTCTATAGCTAAAAAACTATGAAAATATCAGATATAAATTTATGAAGGGTCACTGCTCTCAATCTAAAAAGCCTCATTCTATGCCAGCAAGTCATAATTAATCTCACGTTTAAGAGCCTTTCTCGTTTTGATACGCATAAATCAGAACAAAGAACAAATACAGAGTATTCTGACAAAACTGAACTTAAACTACGTCAAAAAAAAAAAAAAAAACTTATCGCTAACCCATGGTAATAGCTTTCCCTTAAGTAGCGACCCTCTAAATCTCTAAGTTGTAGGAGTTTAGCAGAGTAAAATACAGACAAAACCAAGGGAAGAGAACAATATTGAAGCTGCCAGAAATCGTCCCCCAGAAAGAGGTAAGCGAATTGGAAGAAATAACGATAGTACAATATATGATGCCTCACTTTGTTTCATAAAAATCTAAATTTTGCCTTGTAGATAATGAAGATTATTGATTGCCCCGAAACACTCACTTGGCAAACACAACCAGAGGCATAGAATACTATTCCGCTGGTATGTACAGGAGGCATAAAAAATAGAGAAGCAAACGTCTATATCTTTTTTCTCGGAATCAGAAACTAGAGAAAGGAATCAACAGTTCAAAAATATGTTACCTGTATAAAAAGAAAAGGGTCGGCAACAAAATTACTGGGGAAACCAGCATCCGAAGCGGAAGCACACGTCACCACTGGGTTGGCTACTGGCCAAGCTGCACTTTCGTCTTTCCACACATTCGCCTGCAAAGAGTCGGGACTATCTTATCCATATAATACTTATTAATTCAGCAATCTCACATCACTAAGAAAATTTCAATTGAAATTTATTCTGTGTGATCGCAAAACAACATAAGGATGAATGAAGAGCAGACCGGAAAGTGAAAACCAAACAAGAGAGGGTCTTATAAAACCATGATCCATAGTTCACAAAAGAAAAGCGAAAAACAAAACAAGCAAAAGAAGACAGAATCGCTTGCCAAGATTTCTTTCACAAGTACAATTATTATTTCACACACGGCATTTATGAGGAAATTAATACTGGGGTGCATGGAAAGAAGCCGGAGGAAAAAGTGGGGCAAAACTGAGAGGAGATAGGGAGGGGAAGAAGAAGAAGAGGAAAGAAAAAAAACAGACTTACAGTTTCAATGGGTTTTAGCGAGAAGGGAGAATCGCCATAAAAAACCCCAATAGACCAAGAACCCTCATTGTCTTCCTGACAACCGTATAAGGAGAGGCTCGTGCGAACTGGAGGAGAGAAAGCAAGCCAAGCATAGAAGGTTGCAATCGATCCGAACAAAAGCAAACAACAAAGAAGAAAACGAAACCAGAGGAAAACAAGCGGTTGTAGTAGTGCTGGTGCTCTAATCTCCACCTACACCAGCACTTAAGGCTCATATCACAGCAACTACCGTTACCGCCACCATTGCTAACACCACCGCTAATCTGGCCGGAACCCATGTAGCCGTCACCGGAGCAGGTGTTAGAAGCAGCCAACTCTAACAAGAAATCTCACAACACCGCGGCAGCGCCGCCGTGAACCCCATCAGTTTCCGGCATTTTTCCAATGAGTCTCCTTCAAGTCTACTAATTCTCTCTCTGAGACTGTTTTTCTGGGTCCTCTCTCTTTATTCTCTCTCTCTCTCTCTCTAAAATGAAGTTGACGGTACACGTTCGTAAATTGCGGGATTCTGAGGGCTATGGATGGAAAATTGTCTGAAAACTGAATGAAGCCCTCGTCTATCTCAGCCCGGACATATACATATATATGTATATATGCACACACACGGTTCCGCGGCCTGAAAAGAAAATTCAGTTTAAATTTATAAAGTGATGAAATGAAGCATACTCGCACGAGGGGGGAATTAAGAGGGTACTCGCTCTGAGTGGGAGCCAAGTAATCAGCGGAGTCTGACGTGGCAAGAGAAGGAGGGAGGAGGCGTGTGTTGTATATTTTGGAAATGTAGGTGTTCTGAAACTTCAAAGTTTGTTTTATTTCTTTTTTTTTTTATTTTGAGGGAAAAATTAAAAAAAAATGAAATAAAAATAAGGAGGTGGGAAAGAGAGGGAAGACTCTGAAGAGGTGGGGAGGGCGGGGGCCGTCGGGTCTGGAGGGCAGTGTTTGGACGGATTCAAATTGGTTTTTTGAATTGAAGTGGAAAAAGCGTGGGGTCCACTGGCTTTATTTTTCCAAGTTGGAAAGAGCCTGGCTGCTTGCTATTGCCACGAAGATGCATTATGCCGCAAATATTTTGACTACTTTTCTTCTGACTGATTGGATACGCTTGATTCCGGAATAATATAAATTATTTTTATCAATTTATATTAAATGTAAAAACAAATTAAAAAGTTTATTTTTATTCTGAATATAATATTTTAATTTAATGTATCTCATAAATTTATAATTTTTTAAATTATTCATATTGATTTCACACATGGAAAGAGTTTCTGTCAAAAGGTAATTCTAACACGAGTGATTAAAAGAATATTTTAGAAAAATAACCTAATTTTTAATAAGTAATTAATTTTATAAATTAATCATATGGCTCTCGTAACATATTGGAGGAAGTTACAGTTTTAATGAAGAGGATTTGAGCTCTTAGATATTTATTTTCATCACCAATGATATTGCCGCATGTGGTATGAAAGCTTCCTTACAAACAAGCATATGATTGTAGGTTTGAACCCGCTTATAATCTCATATTATTAATGTTTTCCTCATTATTGTAAAAAAAAAAAAATAAAGATATATATTTTGCACTCTCTCCATGTTTCTACGCGTAATAGTAAAATCAGCGGCCAAAAGACATGATATTAGAATATCCTAGAAATTAAATGCTGAGTTTGAAATGATCAAGTTTATTACTCTCTTTTAAAAGGTTTCTTGGGCAGCAAGTTTTAAGTCTCTTTCTTATTCATTAAAAACCTCTAGGATAGCTATAAAAATGATCAATAAAGTTTTGACCTTTTTGACAAATTTAATTTCGATTTTCCTTTTTTTAAATCATGAGTCATTCATTGGTTGGGGTTTTCCTAATAAATTATAAGCTTTAGTTACTTTTATCGGACAAGGAAAATGGAAACTTCAATTTGGACCTTTCATTTTATGTTAACAATAGGATAAAAAAAAAAAAAAGTGTTTGTATTGTCAGTCACCACTCACCACATTTTCTATTTTGTACATGAGAATTATACTTTCGAAAGTACAAATGAATTTTGCCGTGTCCCATCAATTTGGGAAATCTAGATGAAACTTGCATGAAGAATTAATATGTGTTACTTTTTTTTTTTTTTTTAGCCGCATTCTTAAGAAATAAGTTATCATATTGTCATCTAATGGAATGGAAAAGGGAGTAACAAGTTTGTTTTTTCAGAAAGAAATAAATAAAAGTTTTTATCTCAACACCATGATCTAATAATGGTTTTTTTTTTACTGGGCATTGATAATTTCTTATTAGAGGTCTGTTCAAGTCATTATCAAATATTAAATATAAATATTTCTCCTGACAAGAATTAACACTAATTTGTCATGTTATAAAAGATTAGCCTATTTAATTAGATATAACCTAATTTGCTGCTTAACATTTTTAATTGAGGCTCAATTATGAGGGAAACCTTAGTTAATGGAATCCAAATTCATTAAATCAAATTAACTAAAAAGAATAAGAAAATAATAGTTAGATTTTTTTTTTATTGATGTATAGGCCACGAAATTTGATTATTTGTCAAATGTGAAATGGAAAAAAGAGCGCTATTAAATTTCTTTCAACTTAGAGAAGAAAACATGACGGCGATTCGTTATTTGTCGGGCTTCGCTCATTGAAATTGAAAAAAGATTCAACTTTTTTGTGCTTAGGGTTGAAATCGAAGGAAGATTCGATGGTTCTGATATGAATATTTCAATGCTAATCATCGTGTTCTTTTTTGTATATAATACGTAATTTTTATTTTGCAAAAATATAGCATGTGAAATTTCAAAAATAATTTTCATTACTTATATCTTATAAATTATACAAGTTCTATTACACAATATTGTAATTAGTGTAGTAATTTATTATGCATTTTATAATAGAATATAAAATAATATGAATATTGAATATTTGATTACTTGCTGTACAATTTTTTATTTTTTTAATAAAAAACTAATATCATTCAATGAACTGAATTCTCAAAATCGTGGTCAAAGAAAGAATGTTCATGGACCATATGGTTTGCTCAAACGGCTGCAGGCTTGATCATATATTTATATTAAAAAAAGATTAAAGTACACTTTTAGTCTTTTAACTTTATACAAAGTTTTACTTTGATCTTTTAATTTTAAAAAGTAAACTTTTAGTCTTCTAATCCTAAAAGTATTAACAAAAAATAATGATATTAAACTCTTGAATGCTGATAAAATATTACTAAATGCTAACATATTAAATTAATATTTAAAACAATTATGATTGTTACAAAAAATATCATTTAAGACTAACAATTTCAAGGTTAAATGACTAAAATTATACTAGCCATGGGGTCAAACTGAAATCTTACATAAAGTTAAAGGACTAAATATATACTTTAGCTATTAGAAAAAGAGAAAAACGGCCATATCAAATAAATAAATATTTTCTTTCACATGAAATCATCCTCTTACAAATTCATATTTAAACAAAAATTAAAATAAAAAATTCAAGAAATTTTTTATTTAATATAATTTAAAGGACACGCACACAGATATGCTAATATTGAGCTCTAATTTGGAAAATCATTTAAGCGTGACGATTGGAGTTGCTGTGCTGTCAAGGCAACCAGCTGTTTTGACCATTCAACAATTTCGTTAATAAAAATATTTGTGTGAATTTAGATTTTGGAGGCTCAATGAGATACAAATTGATGAAAAGCCCCCATTTCAGGATTCAAAATGGGTCCATTCACAATATATTTATAAGATAGCTTGGTGATGATAATAAAAATAAAATAATAATAAAAAAATGGCATAGGTTGACCCGTGATGAATGTGTTTGATAACGGAAGGAATTTGGCATATAATTCAGCATTGGACCAAAGAGACGGCTAGCTGGCTCGCCAGGCTTGACTTTACCCTTTTGTCCCCCTAAAAAATATATAATGCCAAAGACACGAAAAAAAACTCCTCACGTGGCTTTCTCTTTATTCCAAGTCTTATTATAAAGAACCATTAAAAAAATTTAAAAAAGTTACTCAATTATTTTAAATCATTTATATTTTTTCAATTTAATTTGTTTTAGTTATAAATTGACATATAATTTTATGATCCACTAACCATTTTAAAAAGATCATATAGCATATGTTATGATTAAGTAATTTAGTAATTCTATTAATCTTTTCAAATTAATCAACTGAATTTTATATTAAAGATCAGAAGTAGTATTTTTTTTTAGCTATTATTGTTATTACTACTACAAGTTACTCCCTCCGTTCCTTATTATAAGAGACAAATAACCGAAATACGTTGATAAAAAAAACAGTTAAAATTAGTTAAGAACAATTAATGTGTAAAAAGTATAATTTTTTCCAAAAATACCCTCATAATAAGGAGAGAGAATATGAGAGAGAACAATTAAATTATTCAAAGAAAGAGAAGTGAGAGGGAGAGAGAGTGTGAGTTGGAGATAATAAATATGGATAAAATAGTAAATCAACACAAAAAAGTAGAGACAACTTGTAAGTGTCTCTTATATATAGGAACATGCCATAAGCATCAAATGTCTCTTATAATCAGGAACGGAGGGAGTACAATGTTGGTTCATTGGCAGAGAGAGAGAGTGAGAAAACTTACAATGTTGGCTGTGCTGATTAAATGAAATGATTAAATATTCTTGGGTTAATATAAATTTTGGTCCTTCAAATTTACTTTCATTTTGGTTTCGATCTCTCAAATTTTAAATTATAGGTTTTGATCTCTCAAGTTTCTTTTCATTTAAAATATTAGTCCCTACAATCCAATAAAAACTTGAATCATTTTGCCCCTAAAAGGATCAAAACTTATGGTTTGAAATTTGAGGGACCAAAACCAAAATGAGAATAAATTTAAGGGACTAAAAATTATATTAAGCAAATATTATTTAAACAAGACCTCAAATGTTGGGTGGTGAGAACCTATTTAAATCCGTCGTCTCTAAATTTGATTTGTTGATATTAAATACCGAGTAGCTAAGTGAAAAAGTAAAATTAATAATGATCCGTATGTTATAACCCAAATGACATTAAACATTTTGTAAGACTTTGTTAGGCATAAAATTGTTGTAGTAATAGTAACAGTAATAATAATAGTAATAATAAATATGTGAATTATTACCGAAAAAAACATTGCTGAAAAGAAAAGAAAGAGTTATGACAAAAAAGAATATCAAAATTATCGTCTACTACCCTGCTTTGGTGGGATTTGCAGCACCTAGGCCGCTTCGATTTAATTTAAACCTTTGGCATTATCAAAAAGATTAAATATAGTGAGATGTGTTTTTTAAAATAATGTGATTTTCTTGGTTTTGTCGATAGGATACTAGGTAGGTGAATTGTTCAACAACCAATTAGATTGG